AGTCCATAGGGTGCTGCCCGAAGAAAAAAACTCAGGGACCTCAGCACTGGGTGCTGGAGAAATAAAATATTATCATTAGGGTGGCTAGGGTTAATGAGGGCCCAACCCTTTCGGTCCCTCAGATATAAGTAAGCGTGCAGAGCTAGCGCTGATGGTTTTGCAACCCAAGAGATAAGCTGTGTGTCCCTGAACTTGCATTTCTGTAGGGCACTGCGGTGTACAGCGAGCACTGCTCGCACGGGGGATACAGCCAGGGAGCTCCGTGGGGGAGATGAGGGGCTGCTCGGGAGGCACTGGAGGGCTCTTCCACTAAACTGGTCACTGGGAGTACTCCGAGCCCCCAGGATTTAAGTATTTTATTCATTTAGACGTATGCAACTGTGCAGAGGACAGCGTGGCTTTTATTTCTCCCAGTGTTAGTGCGCTCATCCCCTCTGCAGGTGCAGGTCTGGTGCACTTCTTGGAAAAGCATCCCTGAGTTGTCCTATTTTCCAGATATTTTTCTATAAAAGGCAGTCACACCGATCCACTTTTTCTCCACTGTAAGTGAACGTGCGTCCCCGGCTCTCATCTGGGAAAGTCTGAGGAAAACCAGGATCGGAGCGTTTTGCAGTTTGCAGCCAACTGCCTGAAAGGAGATTGTAGTGAGGTCTGTGCTCCCAGGGCACGGGCGATGGGACGAGGGGCACCGACCTCAAGCTGTGCCAGGGCAGGGTGAGGTTGGCCATGGGGAACAATTCCTTCCCCTTGGGGCTGTCAGGCACTGGAAGGGGCTGCCCAGGGAAGGGGTCGAGTCCCCAGCCCTGGGGGGATTTAACAGCCGGGCAGAGGCGGTGCTGAGGGCCAGGGTTTGGGGGTGGGATGGCAGGGGTAGGGGAACGGTTGGGCTGGGGGAGCTTAAAGAGCTTTTCCAACCTCAACGATTCTGTGATTCTAAAGGGACGATCACCGTGACAGACAGACAAAAGGAAAATACAGTTGCAGATGTCAACTGGTGGGGGGAGCGCAGGTTGCAGGAGGTTTTCCAGCCTGCCCATGCTGGCTGCCAAGCATGGCCCGTGGCTCTCCACCTGGCTGGCCCACGAACTGCTCCTTGCCCATTTCCCTGCTTTGTTCCTCGTTTCCTTCCAGCAGGATGAGCTACATCTCGGGATGGTTGATGGAGAGGCTCCCATGGCTGTACTGGAGCCAGGGCCAATTCCTCTCACTGCCTTCTGCCGGCAAATTGTGGCTGAAACACCGGGTGGAAAAAACCAAGAAAAGCAACCCCTCTGTGTGTGTCTGGGCTTCACCTTCAGTTTTCTTCTTTTACAGTTTTTAATTTTAATTTAGGCTAATTAATGTGTTAGTGGGTCTAGCTGTGGATTTACGGGCTCAGGTGCCATTAGTAAAGCCTTGACATGATGGACTTCGTGGAGGACTACAGCCAGGCTGCCACCGCAGGCGAGTTATGGGATACAGGGGGTTTGGATCATAACCAGCAGGCGAGAGAGCGCTCCCAGGTCCTAATCCAATTGTGAAATCTTTGATTTTCCCTCCCCCATTTGCTGTTTGTGGTGCTTATGGAAATGAATGTAGAAGTATTGTGCAATTAAAGAAAAAAAAAAAATTAATGGTTTCCTACCTCTGGAATTGAGAGCAAGAGGGAGTGGTTTGAGAACATGTCTTTCCCTTTTAGGGGGCTGAATAGAGGCTTCTATTGTCTCATGTTTTAATTAATTTTTCTATAGTTGCTTCATTAATTGATATTTATGTATTGCTTGTTGTGCATAAATCCAGGAAACAGCGCATAAGAGGATGTTCTCATTACAGCTCTACAAGTGCTTGGCCAATACTGGAATATTAATAATTGGAGTCTCATGGAAAAGTACAGTTTGTTTCCCTTTCTTTGAGGTTTCTGTCCCATATGGTGCCTTCAGGGAATAAACAGTTGCTTCAGGAAAGGCATTTTTGGTGTGTGCTGCAAGAAATCCATGTCTGTGGAGGTAAATGCCAGACTGACGGGGATGCAGCTGAAGTACAGCTCATGTAGCATGGAGTTTTGCAGGTCCTATAAAGCTAAATACGGAGACAAAGCACCTTTCCCATCCCTGCTGGCTGGTGGTCCAGCCTCCAGGCAGCTTCCCACTGGGAAGGGCAGCCAAGGCATTTCTGAAGGGTGATGCCTGCTCCCGTTTCGCACTCTGGTGCCTGCCGGATGGCCATTCTGCCACAGAGACCTCTGAGGAAGAGGGGATGGCTTTTGTCACTGCACATCAAAACTTCATCCCCTCCAAAATCTGCTGAGATGGTGCTTCAGCTCTGTGGGAAGGGACCTGGGGGTCCTGGTGGACAACAAGCTCAACAGGAGCAAGCAGCATGCTGCTGCGGCCAAGGTGGCCACAGGGTGCTGGGGGGCATCACCAAGGGCATCACCACCAGAGATGAATAAGTCATCGTCCCACTCTGCTCAGCGCTGCTCAGGCCACAACTGGAATCCTGTGTGCAGTTCTGGTCCCCGCTGCATAAAAAAGATGTGGGCAGGCTGGAAGGGGCCCAGAGCAGGGCCACCAAGGTGATCCAAGGACTGGGAAGCCTCTCTCAGCCATATGAGGATGGGCTGAGGGAGCTGGGTTTGTTTAGCCTTGAGCACAGGAGGCTCAGAGAGGATCTCATCACCATGTACCAGTATTTAAAGGGTGGCTACAAGGAAGATGGAGACTCCCTTTTCACAAGGAGTCACGTGGAGAGGACAAGGGGAATGGGTACAAGCTAATCCTGAGAAGATTCCAACTGTATACGAGAGGAAGATTTTTCCCCATAAGAACAGTCACCCACTGGAATAATCTCCCCAGGAGAGGGGTTGACTCTGCCATATTGGACACTTTCAAGACTCAGCTGGACAGGGTGCTGGGACATCTTGTCTAGGCTGTGCTCTTGCCCAGAAAGGTTGGACTGGATGATCCTTGAGGTCCTTTCCAACCTGGGATTCTATGATTCAGCCTAGTAGCCCTTCAATCCGTAGTGGCTAATTAATATTACCCAAACTAATTTTCCCCATTTAAAAAGAAGCATAAAAAAATCCCTGGGGATTTACAGGAGCAGTTGTTCTGGGTCTCTGGGATCACAGCTGCAGTGTAGCAAAGCATCCCTCCGTCACCCAGACGTGCGAGCATCCCCCCCATGCTTGCACGTGTCCCCCTGCCCAGATGCTGAGGCACGGGCTCCTCGGTGGCCGCCTGCTCAGCAAGTCAGCGCCCTGGTTTGGGGTGGGACCCCAGCTCATGCTGAAATCACCATGTTCCCCACAGCTGGAAATCAAGGCCAGATGCATTGCTAGTCAATGCTCACGAGCTGTCCCTCGGCTGGCATTTCTCTTTTGACTCATGCCTAAAAAAATCTCCCCCGCAGAGCAATCAGCTGGTGTCCTCCAAAGGCCTGTGGGCTGCTCAAGAGTGGTGAGTTATGATCTGCTCACAGAGCTATTGTTATTTGAGATTTTATTAATCATTTACTACATTTTATGAGGTTAGTCACCTGCATCGTCTCTGTGCTGACACAATAATTTACCACTACAAGGATGAAAAATAAAATAAAAGATCGTTTACTGGCAGCTCGCAATGCTCTTACCGGGTTACAAAGGCAGCTGGTGGAGAGAGATTTCTGCTGGGGAATCAAAATAAAACAAAAAGAGATGAAGAGGCACAGCCAAAAGGGTATCATTGGAGATCAGTTTTATACTGAAGTGTGTGATTATCAATTATTCAGAAACATGGCGTTGAACTATCTCTCCCCATAGGTTTATAAACCTCTCTCTGGCTTAGCACTGGTAACGGTTATCCAGAGATGTGTAAGGGTATCACTGGAGGCCACAAAAAGACACTGATATTAGGCACGTAATGCAGATAAGAAGGATATTGCAAAGCACAGAACTAGCTCATCTCCTGCTATATTACTCCACCAAGGTCAACAGCACCTCTGCCAGCTCTCACCAGCTGTGGGTTGGCCCCCCAAGCCATCGTGTAGGACCCAGAAAGGAGCGAGCCCCACCAGGCAGAGGCAGCTTGGGTTGGGTCCACGATGCTCCCTTCCAGGCTGGGAGCAACGAACAGGGCTAAGCTCGGACACACAGCAGCCTTTCACAGAATCATAGAATCATTTAGGTTGGAAAAGACCTTTAAGGTCATCAAGCCCAACCTTTCTGACAGCTTGCCTTCTGGTGGCAGGACACAGCCACGGCTGGCCATGGCGGGCGAGTGGGCTGCTGTGCCATGCACCCAGGGGAGCAGAGCTGGGCAGGAGGCTCGAGTCTCCTTAAAAGCATTTTTCAAAATAATTGATTAATTATTTATCAACTCTAAATGGCCGGGATAGATCTGGTGGTACACAGCAGCGCAGCACAGTCTGTTTTGACAGCTCTAACCGACAATGTACAGCCACTGGTAGGACACTGCTAAGGATGCTACCCACTTCGTCGCCTCGTATAATACAAGAATAACAAAAATCAGAGAAACAGCCCTTCTCCCATTAAAGCACTGATGTAAGAAATACACAAAAGTCAGGTATTTTGCGAGTGCAGAGCCTTCCTAGCAATAATTATCATCTAAACATTCCCCTGTCTTGTATAATAAATGAACAGCATAGTAAATGTTATGGTAATAATTCATTATTCATCACAAATAACAAATGAAGGGAATTATTTACTATCCACTAATCTCTAAAAGGGCCCCGCTTCTTTTTTAATCCCATGGGGATGCCAAGTGCTGAGGAACAGGGTCCATGTTCGGCCATGCAGACCCCCGGCGGCTGCGGCTGGGTGGGCGCCGTGGCCTCGGGGCCGGCACGCTGCTGCTGTTTGCTGGTGGTGCCGTGACACAACCTGTGCAGACGTCACCGTGTGCGTGGATAAGGATGGTGTTGAGTCTACAATGCCCTTTCCACCCCCACCATCTTTCCCAAGCCTCTCTGCCTCCACGCAGGACCGTCGCATACCTGGGGATGTTACACCCCTGCAGCCCCGGCTAAGCCTCTAGTCTGCTGCTGTACTTCCACCCTGACAAAGAGGTGTCACCCTTGAGGTGTCAAGACAGCAGTCAAAGGCATGGTCACACGGGAACAAAGGAGGAATATTTTTTGGCCTCACCAGCTTTGTGGCACACGCAACGCCTGCTCTACCTGCCCGGGGGGGCAGGGGCTGGCCTTCCTCCCGGCCCCCTCCTCTTCCTCCTTCTCCCCTCCAGGGCCGGGGCTGCCCCCGTCCAGTTTGTCCATCAGGCGGTTGAGGGTGGAGGCCAAGGATTTGGATGCCTGGTTTCGGTCAAACTCCCCCTTCAGCCCCTCCGCCTCCAGCTCGTCCTCCACCTGCAGGTGACGGGGGGGGGACACGGGGGGGTCCCCAGCCCAACTAGGGGGTCTCCAGCCCAGCCAGGGGGTCCCCAGCGCGGTGACCCACTTCGTTGATGATGTTGTCAAACTCTTCCTCCATCTTGGTCTTCACCCCCTCCTTCAGCTGGGCCATCTGCTCCCGGGGCTGCAGGGCGGCCTCCAGCTCCTTCTCGAAGCCACCCAGAAGGTCCCCATCTTCTTCCTCATCCTCTTCTTCCTCCTCCGGTCGCTCCCTCTCACCCGCTGGGGGCTCCTCAGGGACTGGGGGGTCTGGAGGAGCCTTCGTTGGTGCCTCTTCCTCCTCCTCCTCCTCCTCGCTCACCTTCTCCTTGGCCTGGAGCCGGAGGGAAGGTTTCTCGTGAACATCCCTTGGGAAACTGAGGCAGGGAGAAGCTGCCCGAGGGGCCGGTCCCCGTCACGGGTGGGCCTGGGTCGGGGCGGGGGTGGTCGCCCACCTTCTTGGCTCCCCCAGCCGCCTGTCTTCCAGGGTTTCCCCTCTTTACCTCCCTAGGAGCAGCTCTCCTTCTCCTATTTCCCAAGATCAGATTTCTTCTTCCTTGTCCACAGCCGGTCTGTGGTGTTGCCCATGGCCTTCAAAGGCCGTAGTGCTGGACCATTCCTCCACGGGATGTAACCCCTTGCCAAAGCCGCCCTCTTTGGCCCTTCTCCTGGGGACCCGAGAGCATCCCCTCACCCCTTTCCTTGGGACCTTAACACTGCTGCCTGCTCGGGGGTAGCGCTTGTGGACTCATTTCTCTGTTATCTCTGCTGATTATTATTTGTTTATTGCTCTTCCTCCTCTTGCGTTCCCCCGGCGCTCCGGGTGACCGACAGCACATAAACCACTGTAACGCAGCGCCGCGAACGGAGGGGAAGGGGTACCGACTGTGTTTGCGTGGGCAGATAAGGGGGGGTCGGCGGGTCCTTTGGGTACCTTCCGCAGCCGGGAGTCGCACGGCGTGCAAGGCAGCCCTGCTCCCAGCCCAGGCATCTCCGGCATCCCTGGCCGAGAAAATACCCTCGAGAAGTGGGTCTCCCCCCCAAAAAAAAATCAACCCATATGCCACGCTGCCCTGGGACACCGGCAACCCCCGCAGGTTGTTTTCACATGTGATTTGTTTAAAAAAAACCTCACCCAGATGTGCATGGGCAGCTGATAGACCTGAATATAAACACTAAAATTCTGCATTACGGTTTTAGGAAGTTATTATTTTTTATTCTAACCTTTCACTTATATTATTGCTCCTGAATGTGAGTAAGCAGCAGAACATAAAGGGTCGTTAAAAGCGTCTGCCTATTACACAGTAACTGCCCTCATGTGAATTCAGCTTGGTGAGTACGTTCAGTGTTTTGCAATGATTTCAGCTCCAAGTTTTGCTAAACTTGCATTTTTGGAGACTATTTTTGAGTAAAGACTTCCATAGAATAATCACGATAATGCCGGCAAGCTGACTTATGACCTCCAATACCTTAAAATATTCACAAACCTGCTGACTAACCGAGTATATTTTTGGGTCTGTGGACTTTCCATCCTCGAATGGAGTGATTAGCGATAAAGAGAGGATTTATAATTAAATCAGCGTGAGCTAATGAAACTCTGCCATGTGCCGCCAGCGGCCTCAGAAGGATACGCCACGGTGCTGTGCTGAGGATCGTTTGACACCTTGCTGGCCGCCACACTCTCCATCAAACCCCACCACCCCCAGCAAGGCCTGGACTTCTCTCCTCCACCCAGCTACCAGGAATAGGAACGCCGAAATCGTGCAACACCTACAGCCTTATAACGTTTAATTAGGGAGCTGAGATAATCAGAGCCCCAGAAGAAGTCTAGAAGGTGCTTTCTGAAGACAAGAAGAGTCAGACCAAGCATTGCCAGCTGCCTACCAGCCGTTCTGGGCTGCTCTTTTCCTCAGGGCAGTGCAGAGAGGTGCTTCAGTCTCAACATTTCTACACGTACCTTCTGGCTCTGGAGGACTGCCAGACTTCCATGCGTGTGCATGACTTTATGGCAAGATCCCACGCTACCTTCCTACAAGAAGCCCGCAAAGAGCTTCCTTAGACACGCGCGGAGACCTGCAGTTCAACATGGTCCCTGAGATGATCCGTAAAATGGTGCATTTCCCAGGAAGCCCTGATTAAGACGGGCTGCTTTAACGAGAATTAAAGCGCCAATCTGAACACATGCACGGGGGTACAAGCTCTGGTTTAACCCCTCCACATACGTGCTCTTCGGAGACAGCGAGACGACCCGCCTGCCCCCAGCTCATAGCGTTGACCTGCGGAGTGGGACCTTGGCGTGGGTTAAAGGAAAGCTTACGGACATTCTGACCCTGCTAGTTGGCACTGTGCCATCTCAGGCTTTATCGGTCAGCTTTGAAGTCTAACCTGCTCCCTTGTGAGGAATTCGTATTTGGCACGCTTGCATGAGACATAATGTGGTAACAGAGGTAGCTCTATATGTATGGTAATTTTTAGAGCTGAGTGACATTTTTCAAATGGATAAGTTCACTGAAAAATGCAGGAACCAACGGTATTTGTGAAAAAAATTAGAAAGTGTACAAATGTTTCATTTTGACACGTCAAAAGAAATGGTTTGGAGATACGGAGACATTTTGTTTCAACGTCATCAAAACAAAATATTTTGACTTTTCGTTTTGAAACAAGCTTTGTTGTTTAAAAACTGACCCAAATTGTAGGAAAGGATTTTTTTAAACCAGCATTATGTAATTACAAAAGAGCATTTCTTTTCC